TGTTCTGGTGACTGGTTCCATAGATGAAACTGTTGTCATATGAAAATTGATCTTCATTGTCAACAGCAGTTCTTTTCAAAAATTTTTGCATTTGTTTTACAGTTCCATTTTCAGTACCCGTATCGGATCTTATTCTTCTTGGACACCCACCATATTTTTCAATACTCTTAAAAAAAAAACCCTAAAACAAAAATTGCATCCAGTAATTACTGAAAAATATATATCATTTTTCCTAGTGTTTCTTTTTACCCACCTGCAATTATTTTTGAATCATTCGTATTCGAAGATGCTTTCAACCAAATGATTAAACCTCGAGTATCCATTAATAGCGCTATTTATACATATACCATATGGTTTTAATTTATCATATGAATCAAGATACCATAAAAAATTGGCATCAGTTTTATTATATTGCTTACTATGTAGTCTTCGTCTTATTCTTAGTTCTACTCCAGAAGGATCTAAGTTTTGTAATATTAAACGAACCATATTCTGCGAAACAGAAAAAACATTTTAAATGCATTTCAAATGCATCCATCTATAGCCATGGAGTTGGGAAGAATTTTGTAACTGATGGTCTATAAAATTTACTAAAATATCAGCTCCACTGAAATATTTTTTTCTAAACAATTTGTTTTTGTTTAAAATCCTCTTTAGTTGTCATTTTGATATATTTGTTGAAAATCTCTCTTTCAGTATGTTTCGAATTTCACTATAATTACAGAATTTCACTATAATTACATCCACTTAAAAATTAGTGTATAATAAGATTATTTCTTGTTCTTGAATCCATCGTCTAGTGTTGTAAATATCTTAAAATATGGTTAAAATTGTAAAACAAGTTAATGAATTATAAATATGTTTAAACTCAAAACTCAGCTGAAGCTACTACACGCTCGAGAATAGAGAATCACTTCACTGTTAGTTTACGAAACATCGACCAAAGCTCACCATTTTAAGCAGATATGTGACGGCACAATAACTCACAATTGCGTGATAATAAGTCACAATTGCGTGATAATAAGTCACAATTGCGTGATAATAAGTCACAATTGCGAGATAGTAAGTCATAATTGCGTAATAATAAGTCGCAATTGCGAGATAGTAAGTCACAATTGCGTGATAATAAGTCACAATTGCGTGATAATAAGTCGCAATTGCGAGATAGTAAGTCACAATTGCGTGATAATAAGTCACAATTGCGTGATAATAAGTCACAATTGCGAGATAGTAAGTCACAATTGCGTAATAATAAGTCACAATTGCGTGATAATAAGTCACAATTGCGTGATAATAAGTCACAATTGCGAGATAGTAAGTCACAATTGTGAGATAATAAGTCACAATTGCGAGATAATAATATTTTTTTTTTATAAAAAAAGTGGAACCAGGAAGCTTTCGTAAGATTTAATTTTAGAACATTCTGAAGAATCAATTAATTCATTTTGGATTAACATTAGATGCGATTATTCAATGATAGCCAAAAAGTTTTAAATATATTAATACAATATATTGACCAATATTAAAACTAAAAAAAGATCAAGATTGTTAAATGTAGAAGACGATATGAGAGTAGCATTGTCATTTTTACGACCAAATATAAATGAAATTATCAAAGAAACATCAAGCTCAAATTTCGCATTAAAAGAATTCTTATTTTTAACTTGTCTTTAATCCCCTAATAAACGTACATACTGCTATTTTTAGAGTACATATTATTTTATTTAGCACATTTAAATTATTATCATAAACTATTTTACGCAGTGTGTTGGTTATAGGTAAGTAAATAATGTTTAAAATTATGTTTTTCTTTGTGTGCTGCCAAATTTTAAAATCGTTAAAAGTGTGCCGCAACAAAAATGCTTCTTATTATTGTTATTGTAAGTTTTTATAAATTAAATTTTGTCTATGGTTAAAAAAATGACATTCTATTAACAAATTCTAAAAAATCTGGTCTAGCTCTATCTTCAGAAATAGATTTGGTATTAAGTGGTGAAAACAGCATCCTTCTAATGCCGCGTTTGAGAATCCACATCGGATGCATTTTTTACATCTCGAGCGTTTTTTTATCCACATCGGACACATCTGTCCCATTACATTTACGTATACTGAATCACGTGATCAAAGATTTACTACATCTCAGATGCATCCGATGTGGATTCTCAAACGCGGAATTTGTTTAAAAATAAAGAAGCAGCCGTCCTAAAACTTTTTCAATTACGAATAAACTTGATGTCGATGTGGTTTATTTTTTAATATTTTAAAAAAGGCAAAAATCATTGCCTATAAAAAAGTGTCTATGTAATTTTGAGGATTTTATAAGTTGTCACGAAAAGTCAAAAAATATATATTCCACATCATTTCTCAGCAAAGATTATTTTTCGTCATAAAATTGATTTGATCTTGGCAGTCCTCAATAATAATATTTATATAGGAAAAGAAATGAGTAAGAAAACTCCAAACTTCTTAGCAGATGTAACAGTTCGCAGCTCACTATTTCTAGAACCTATTACTAAAAATGAACTGACAATTATCATTTCTAACTTAAAAAAGAATGCCTCACCAGGGCCAGATAATATAAGTGGAAAAACTTTAAAATTCATCCATTTTCATATTCTTGACCCACTAGTATACATAATCAATCTATGTTTTTTAACAGGCCAACTTCCTCAGCAATGGAAAGTTTCAAATTTTACACCAATATTTAAAGCAGGTAAAGCTTCTTAGTTAAATAATTATAGACCCATTTCTAAAATAAACAATATTACAAAAATTTTTGAACATTCCTACAAGAGAAGATTAATGGAGTTTCTAAATAAAAATGAAGTGATAACAGAAAGACAATTTGGGTTCATAAAAAAATCAAATACCGAAAATGCCATAATTTACCTTGCCAATACCACAGTGGAGGCCTTGGACAGATCGAATAAAAGCTTAGCTGGCTAAGGTTTTCGACATGGTCGATCACGACTTATTAATTAATAGGCTTAATAACTATGGCATCCAGGGTGTCGCTTTAGTATTAATAAATAACTACTTATCTAATAGAATTCAAAGAGTTAAAATAGGGAATAAATTTATTTCAGAGTCTTTATTACAATTACGAGTACCACAAGGCACAGTATTAGGACCTATTATTTTCCTAATCTACATTAACAGTATCAGTAAAATAAATAATTTCGAAGGTCATATAATATGCTATGCAGATGATACTGTAATAATTTTGTCTGGATCTACATGGGATAATGTTAAATCTACCACTGAACATAACATGAAAAGCGTTTACAAATGGTTAAATAATAACAAACTTTCTTTAAACACGAAAAAAACTAAATATATAACTTTTCCTCCCCCCTTTACAGATCAGCCTAAATTTTTTTATATTAAACTGCATAAACCATCTTGTATTGCTGCCAATAATTGTGACTGTTTTATAATTGAAAAAAACAAATCTCTCAAGTACCTAGAAGTTATTGTTGATCAACATTTAAAATGGGTAGACCACATCAACTATGTTTCTAAACGACTAAGAATTTTAATACACAAATTTTATGAATTACGGGACATCCTAACGAGAAAAAATGTAATGATTTTGTACACAGCTCTTGCTGAATCTATAATTCAATACTGCATCCCAGTATGGGCGCAGCATTCAAATCAACTCTATCACCATTACAAATTTCACAAAATATCCTTCTTAAAATAATTTTTAGAAAGAGTATCATTTCACAAATCTTTTATATCAAGAAACTAAATTACTAAATATTTACTTAATATATGTTTACAACTGCCTAACCAGGATGTTCCATGATTCATCAAAGTTCACTACCCTGAATCATCAGAGGGATACTCGGTCAAAAACTAACTTTGATAATAAAATTGAACTTTTTCATAAAACTGCTACCCAACATTCCTTTATGTACTATGGACCTAAATTATTTAACAAGGTACCCAAAAGCCTAAAACTAACAACAAAATTTCATTTTTTTAAAACTGAGGTGAAAACGTTTATGCAAAAAAATGCAGATCTTGATCTTGAGAATAATATTCCTCTTTATTCTTGAAGTGTACTACTCCTGGGCGACTCGCCCAGTATTTTTTTAGCAACAAAAAAAAAAGCACAAGAAAAAACGAAAAATTTGTTTATTTTTAAATTTTGTACTTTTTTTTTGTCTTAATTTCTATACATTATATTCATTATATAAGTTAGGAATGCTTATTCTATACAGAGTTTGCTGCGTTTGTCTGACTTCCATTTGTATTTAATATTTTCATTCTATCATTATGTCATTTAACATTGTATAGAATATTGTAATGTATTTAAAATAAATAAATTGAATTGAATGTCGTTATCTACTTATATCTTCACCTAGTTGTTCTTCTTATACTTCACCTTCTGTTTCATGAAGTTTCTTTTGGTTAACTGAATTTGCAGCAATGTTTTTTATCTTTCTTGCAATGTTTCGTCTATCATAGTCTCAACTTTAACATAAAGAGCGCCAAAATGCCTAAAACTGATGGCCCAATAATTATGGGTTTAAGAGATTTCAAATCATTAGTTATATCAAACTGTTTCTCAATTTTCAGCATTTGCTTGAAAATATCTAATCGATTTACAAATTCATTTATAATTTTTCTGTCTAAAAATATGAAAATATCGGTTTTTGAATCATTGGTTCTATGAAATTTCATCTTTATTGACTATCTTTGTTTTGGTATGTTAGATGTTAGCAGAAGCATATTTGTGGTTAATAGCAATTGCTACTATTAACGACCTTATGCTTTATGCTACTTTTTATTCATATCAGCCGTTGTTTGGACTGTGCGCATTATTTGAGAGCTTCTTAATTAGCTGTTTTTATTGTGTAATTACTACGCACACTAAATCTGTCATTGTATCTTCACACATGCGATTTTATTGTTATATAACCTAAATAAGCATACGACAATGAATTTAAAATATGACTTGTGTATTTACAAATAACATGCAGAACATTTACCTTAAACTTTCAAACGTGAATCAAAACCAAACATTTTCTTTATCTCTAATAATTTCCTGGGAGTGAAACTGAGTCTAAACTAACAATTATTTTTTTCGCGAGCATCATAAGATTTGCAACTGACCGTAAATAAGATTCTTGATCACAGACATAGGTCAAAATACAGTTTGTCAATTTTCTCATGTCCAGTTGAGATTAAAGTATTAGGAGGATGTCGCATATAATTGTGTAACGACAGTAATTTTTCAATTGTCTTAAAATTGTCCAATATAACTCGACGCGGTTACTTAGAAATGATTGAAATGTTTAATTTCGAGAACTTAAGTGTTATGGTTTATCAAAACGATATTTTTAATTGGCGTTAATATTTCTACTACCGTAAAGCGGGGTTATTCTGGACTTTTTTCGGACCTTTTTGGATGTACCATAAAAAGCGTACATGTTTCATATCGAGTTTGGATATGTCTACATACAAGCTAATATTACCATGATAAAAAATACGACCATCTTTTATAGGGGGTTCCTAAAAAAATTTTTGAAGGTCTGTCCAAAATAATCCCATAGACCAGGGATATTTTGGAATTAGCAAAAATAACACAGAATATGAAGTTAAACAGATCAAGGGGCTTTTTGAAATATAAAAAAAATATATCTACCTGAGTATTTTTTCATTTAGGCATAAAAAAACTACTAAAAAAAAAACACAAAATATTAGTTTTATTGATTTTATTACAAAAAAATCGAGAAAATTTAAGAAACGTAAGTACAAATTCTAAAAAACAACGTAAACTAGAATTAAATTTGGTTTCTTCAGCCTTTCGGCACTTAACAAGGAAGTACCTGCGTAGTTAATATAGGATATTATTGGCAATTATAAGATGATAAATTCTCATTAAATTTAGAAAGCACTCTTCTTCCTGTGCCATTTATATTTGGACTCTAGAGTATTTTTTTTAAATGTTCTTCAAGAACATCGTCTATATTTTTTACATCTGGTGTTAGGAATCGTTCTGTCTTAGAGGATTTTTTTTAAAAATCTACCACTGAATTGGTTTTTGAAATTGAAACTATTTTCTCAACGAAGTAAATTTTTTCTTTTATATGCTACCAATACCCAGTCATTTAAAATTGGTTTCTTAAGTTCAATCGAAGAATTTGCTGGTAGCACGTTTTCTTTGAAGTGTATCAATGGCATATCATCATCACTGCTACTGCTATTTGGTGATATCCCAGGATTTCGAGAATGTTGGCAATTCATCGAAACTCTCAGGGCTATCGCCTCCTCTATCGGGTTCATATGGTACATCAGATTCTTCAAAAGAAGACGATGATGGTATCGCTGATTTCTTTTTTTTAAGTTTCAATTTTTTAGAAACTGTTTTTTTTTTGGAATCGCACTGGTTGAAGCAACAACATCAGTGGTTGACACACTCTTTCCAGGCTCTACTGAAACTCTCTTGCGTCTTTGTTTTTGTTGTGATAATGATTCTGTACTATGACGCATTTCTTTTAAAATGTCAACCATAGCAGTAGAAACAACATTATGAGTACCTTCGGCGTCTGCTACTTTAAGTTCAGGGGGAAGTCGTTGCGTTGGCTCGGCAGGATCGAATGGATATAGACCATATTTACGGAAACCCGAGATGAGATTTTCGGAAGCTTTACCATTTTCATTCAATTTTTGACGAAGTTTATTTAGTAGCTGCGAAAATACATCTTTTGATAACGTAGACATTTTACGCCCTCCTGTTTTCTTCCATTCGGTAAGTATGGCTCGCCAATACTTCTTTAAAGGTGCATAGAATCCCACATCAAGGGGTTACATCAGATGAGTAGTGTTAGGGGGTAGGCAGATAAAAGATATGTTAATTTTTTGGCATGTCTGTAACTTCTGAGAAAAATGTGAGGATATGTTGTCGCCAACTAAAATCTGCAATAAAAAAATGGGGATTATTATTAAAATAGCAAAATCTTGAATCCATAGATTGTAAATAAACCTTGTTTCTTAAATAAGGGACAACAGTGCTATAAAATCAATCCTCAAAGCGGACGGCATTAAACCAGCCACTTCGAGACTGATTGTAACGCGCTCCTGTAGGTCCACCGTGAGTCCAACTATCCCACATATGATCTGCCTTGTAGACTACATATTCAGGTAAAAGTTGTCCATCGGCAGTTCCAGCATACATTATGCTTATGGCAGTCTTCGTGGAGTTGACTACCCTTTCAGGATACTTGGTGCCTCTCTTAAATATACATTTTTTTGCCCCTGGGTTGTCAATCAGGTTGGTTTCGTCGAAATTTATTATTAGAGGCGGGTCTGTGGTATTAAACATATCTCGGGCATTGTCAAAGAACATTTCCAAATTTTGCCCATTTTCCATTGCACGTTTGGTAGAGATATTGGCAGAAAATCGATTCCATATTGAGTTTTTATTTCTCTTCAAAAAGTTTGAAGCCCAATCTCGACCGGGTAGATTATTATTAAACCTCTGTTCATTGCGGCCCTTTCTGTCAAGATAAAACTTGATTAATATCCTCAAGTCAGTATAATGTCAAACGGAAAGTCCTAGGAAGCAACCACGTTCAGATGTTCAACCAGCACTTTATCTTCGTCGCTTGTTAAAATGTAAGGCCTTCCGGCTGTAGGAAAAGTGCTTTTTTGTCTTAGCTCGTAAAGCTAGGGTAGACCTTGGCACCTTATATTTTTTAGAAGCCTTATCAAGCCTCAGACCATTATACTGAATATCACGTATGGCGTTTTGCAAGGCTTCTTCCGTATAGTTTTTGTACGGGGAATAGTTTTTACCATTTCGTGAATGGGTTAAAGTTTTTACGTAAGTGCGAACCATTTGAATTTTAGGGACCAGAACATTTTCAACCTAAAAAAGCAAATTCGTTGGTTATTTTAGTAAATGGGGCTATTTTGGAAATGCGGGGCTATTTTGGAAGAATAAAAAAATAACTCGTCCAAAATTGCCCCGCTCACCGAAAAACCCAATAGTTTTTTTTTTAAATATATATTGTCCTTAAAATACGTATTATTTCTGAGTAATAACACCCACACAAACTTTTTTGCAAAGCCATAGCTGCATTCACTCATTTTTACTAGTGTGCTGTAGTAAAAGTTTGACTATATTTATTTTCTTGCAAAAAAGCATGTGGTTTGCCGGCGCCTAAAGCTTGTTACGGGTTTTATTCTATCTAAATCTAGACTAGTCTAAATTACCCTAGTTTCACTACTCTAAACTATTCTAACCTATCCTATTTCCTAGCCTACCCTATTGTAAATTATTCTAAACTTACACTACTCTAAACTAGGTTTTTCTATTCTAAACTATCCTAAACTATTCTAACTTATTCTATTTTCTTACCCTATCCTAAATTAGTCTAATCTATCCTATTACTATTCTACGCTTAACTATTTACACTATTCTACTTCTAATCTATTCTAAGCTTAACTATTTACATTATTCTACTTCTAATCTATTCTACGCTTAACTATGTACACTATTCAACTTCTATTTTATTCTAAATTACCCTAAGCTACTCTAATTACTAAACTACCCTATTAATTACCTATTCTACTATAACCTATGCTAATCTCTTTAGTTACCTTTAGATTTAAGAGTGTGCTGTATATAAATGTATATAAATGGGTCCATTAAATAATATCCATTTTTATCAAACATATTTTGTAGTAAAATATAAAATATTATTTTATATCTATATTCCTATATAGGTAAGTGAAATAATAATTCATTTTGAAAAACTCACCCTTGATGGTATGTGACCTCTTAGTAAATAATTTATTTACACTTTCAGCCCGATACTATATCCACTACTAGGTGTATGAATCACAAAGATTACTAAACAATATATCGAACTGAAGGAATCTATGGTTTTTGTACAAGAATAAATCCTAGAAAATCCTAGCTGAAATTTTGGCACATGCCACAATCAGAATCCAAGCAAAAACTGGGCCAGGAAGGAAGTTCCACAAAATGGCCAACAAAAGTCAATGTCTTAGCAAGAAGGCCCTGACTACAAAAGGGTAATAGGATAATTTCTGGTAAGACTGTGGTCAATATTTATAAATTTAGAAGAATCTGACAACTGAAGGAGTTAAAATTGACATGTAAACAATAACAATAAAAATAAAGCTTTTTAGTAATTAAATGAGCTAAAGTTATTGTTCAAAGTAGCGAAATATATTTACTGACATTATAAGTTATTTATTAAGGTATTAATCATTATTGAATATACTCCAGGTGAGATTACACTTTATTACAAAATATTACTTTATATTTTACTACAAAATATGTTTGATAAAAATGGATATTTTATGAATTTATTTAAGGTGATTACAGCACCCCCTTATAATTTTCGGACAAGGATATCTCAAAAAGTAATTTTTTTAGAAAATTTAAATTTGGGTAAAATAAACTAGGCAACAATATCTAGAATATGCATATTTTTTAAAGTTTTAATTACTTCCAGTTTCCGAGAAAAAAAATCAAAGGGCTTTAAATTTTAAAATATCATAATGAAAATAAATGCATTCCTCAACAGCACTATTCCTAATATAATCCCTAAATTTAAGCTCTCAATCTCTTGTTAATGATTTTTTAAAATTCGCCGAAATTAGTGGCTAAAACGCCTCGTTAAGTGCTTCTTTCTAGTGTAACGCGTCTGTAACTATCGTATCGTACACTCTGAGTCATAATTCGTTTCTTGCAACGATTTACACCAGTTTACACCATTTAAACCAGAAAATAGCACTTAACAAGGCGTTTTAGCCACTAATTTCGGCGAATTTTAAAAAATCATTAACAAGAGATTAAGAGCTTAAATTTGGGGATTATATTATTAATAGTGCTGTTTAGGAATGTATTTATTTTAATTATGATATTTCAAAATTTAAAGAACTTTAATTTTTTTTCTCGGAAACTGGAAGGAATTAAAATTTTAAAATATATGCTTGTTTTAGATATTATTGCCTAATATATTTTGCCAAAATTTTAATTTTTTTAAAAAATTACTTTTTGAGATATCCTTGTCCGAAAATTATAAGGGGGTGCTGTAATCACCTTAAGGGCGGGCGTGGGCAATGTATTTAACATAGGCATACACAACGCTCTTTCAA